AACTAATGTTGGCTTTTCATGTTTGAGCAGAAAACCAGTTACAGCTTACCCAGCTTGGCCAGTGAGGCCAGCATGATCCACAGCACAATCTCAAAGGGAGCCTGCACATGGTGATAGTCGACGCTGAAAACCCTCAGCGCCATGGGCAGATCCACAGACAGGCTGCCATCACTACTGTTGAAGCCCAGCATTGGGGGCAGGTTGCGGGGCTGAGGGAGCTGGGCAGGGGGGGTCAGGGCCAAACATATAGGCCACAACAGGCAGGCAGAGAGCAGCAGAGAGAGAGTCCGCAGAGCAGCCATCCTGCAGCCATGCTCGGACAACAGGACAGAGAGAGACAGGGAGAGAATAGGATAGGGGTTATGGAGATAGGGGGAGGGCGAGCAGCACGCACACATACACACACATATACACACACAGCACAACCTGACCACAACTCATACAACTACTAATGTGCACAGGAATCCCTGAGCTAGCATTGTTATCCAACCAGCAGCACAGAGCTAAACACACACACACACACACACACACACACACACACACACACACACAAACACACACACAAAATGCATTCCTATATCACCAACAGTGGACTAATATTCTACACTGACTAAATGTGGACCAATATTTAAAAAATGAATTTTCATTTTTCACTATACAAGTTAAAAAATGCATTTAATAGTCTTTTTAAAAATTCCAAGAGTAAGTAAGTAAGTAAGTAAGTAAGTAAGTAAAGCTTTATTTATATAGCACCTTTTTGACACGGAGATCCAGAGGGGACTTGGGGGACTACCTATCGACCTACCTTTGTCCTGCAACAGAACTGTTTATGGTGAACACTGACTGTAAGTAGTAAGTGAATGTCAAAAATAGATATAATATATTTAACTATATTGTTTTTAACATTTAAACATCATTAATGTTTTACCTGTAAATTACTTATTATTACTTACTTGGGTACCTACACCAATAATATCATACATTTATCAAAATCTTATTACTTTATTACAACCCAGATGGTTTTCATTATATGGCTTGAGATAAAGTTTACTTGGTTGTTTGAGCCTCTTTAGAGTATTCAAAAAGCATTTTAGAACATTATAAACTCACAATGCTGATTTGATCTCAAAGCTAAGAGAGGACTCTTTTCTGAAATGAACAATTATATTCTCTTGTGGCAAAGCAACAAAATTATTTTTGATTTAAAGCCATCACAATATCTTTCTCTTCCAGTGTCTTATCTTAAATTCAGGATTTAACATCTTTCCACATAATCCTTATTTAATTTCAATATGCTTGCAGTATAGTCAAGTTTCATGGTCAACATAAGGACTGGTATCAAAATAAGGCCTCCACTGTATAATTTACATCAATAAAGTAAGAGCTTATTGGTCATTCATGAAAATTATTTGCTGTTAATACTAAAAATATATTGCATATGCGAGTTTGTGTGACTCCAAAATGTCAAACAGATGGCATGTGGAAATACTTATTTTTCTTCAGTTTTAAAATCTGTTGCTGCTCTTGGACAGTTGTTGCATGTTCTTCTCTATTCCAAGAGAACAGATTGAAGTTTGTATTTTACTAAAATATATTTTACAATGAATTATGAATGAAACAATAACCTGCTTTAAAGTTAACCAGTTTGCCTGAGAAACAAGTTTTTAACTGGTTAACAGTTTAATACTGTTGCCTCTACATGACCTACATAAACAAATAAGACCATCAGAGAAAATAATTATTTTTTTGTTTCTATTTATATACAGTTATTGTGCGTGCCACCGGTCGGATTCGGTCGGATTCCCCTTGAACTCGATAAAACAAGGCAGTAGAAACACTACTGCTTTTGTCCACAGAGGCCGCCAGAATCAACACAACATAAAAGTCCCTTGTAGGAGCTTGAAATAAAAATAAAATGGATAAAAAATGAAGTGTTGCTTATTGGAAAGTGATATCTTTTCTTGTGACAAAGCAGGCGTTGGGACAAAGTGGGATTTTCGTCATTGCTTTGCAAGCTGATTCAAATAAAATGAACTAGCGGTGCCCAGAGAATATTTACTTCCATTGATAATAAAGCCTGACATAGCACAGATGAAATTAATAACATAAATAACGACTACTTGAAGGTCTTACTGGGATACTAAACAAAACAAAACCATTAAAACTTCTAGTAAATGTATAGACAGTAATATATGTGTTGATAATATGTATACACCAGTCCTCTAAACATTGTAATTTGAAGTTGTGCAGCCGGAGTGGAAGTGCTTTCCTTCAGCCCAGTTAGAGGTTAAGTTCTAACTAAATGTGACATTGTCTCCATTTGTGAAACCCCTGCAGAGTATAAAGTTAGTGTTGTTCTCTGTGGCTCTTCAATTAGACCCTTTCTGTCCAGTTAATGTTCTGATTTACGTTCACTGCAAGTGGCAGGACAGCTCTTAGAGATAAATTTAATCTCTTCAGCATCTTTTTTGTTTCCTTGCCTTCTCTTTAACAAAAGGTGTTTTATCCAGTCATTTTGCTTTTAAACCACTTTTTTTTTGTTGCACTTTGTTTTAATTTTGTATTAAAGTCCACATGGATCCATTGTTTTAGGTGTTTTAACTTCTGTTGCCAGCTTCATAGCAGTACAAGCACAGGTGTAACTAATTACATTAACAATGGCTCTATTCCATTCAAGTATTGCAGTAAGTCATGACAGTATGACCATAATCCAGAATCTACAATATCAGGACCTTAAGACTGAAGCAGCTAAATAGAATTCAGCCATCTTTATTTTTTATTATTTACATCTGTGATTTTCCTATTACAAAAGGTTTTCCTCACTCTCCTTATGAGGCACGTGTTAGGGTGGGACGACTTCCACCTTTTCCATTCTTATTGCTGAACGTGGACTTTGGTGACCCAATAACCTACGGAGCTCCACCCAACTTCAACCTGACCAGAGGTCTAATCAGCCAACTGAAAGCACTGCTGGGAGCGCGCAAGACAGGGCCTTTGATAAGAATGATAAAGTTGTAAGTTGTCTCGTGTAACAAAAGTAATAATGGTACTTACAGTAGCTACTAACAGAATCAAGCAGTGTGTACCTGCCCACACGGTCCTGAGAAGAAGTCTAATCAGATGACATACATGAAAACACCCATAGTGGTTTGTTTATTTATGATATCAAAGTGATTCTTTTGTTACTATTAGTATTATAATGCTGTTACAGCTGTCTTTTAAAGTTTCATAATCATTTTACTGAAGCATTTTAAAAAAGTCTTCACCCTATATCCCAACAACTGTTATTAAGAACTCCATTGATGATATACTTGTGTTTTTAATGTTTAAAAGCAGCTTCTCAGCATGAAAAGTACAAGATTAAAGTGTAAAATCTACTTTCAGTGTATTTATATTTCTAGATCATCAGGTGTAATTTACCTGTAAATTAACAAATAAATGCCCTGATCTGTAAATAGAGGCTGTATGTAACAAAGCCTGATTGTTGACTCAAATCTGTTAATTATAGAAAAACCTTAGTGAATCTGGATGCATTTTTTTGCACAGATCAGTGAATCAGCTTATGTTTCCAAAAAGCCCAGTGTGTTACTGCATGTTAATGTATCACCTTCACTGTGGGTGCACAGGAAGCCCAGCTGTGAGGATTTGTCCTTCACAGGTTACAAATCAACCTTAAACAGGCAAATGCACCATAAATCTTCAGGCTGTTGCTGTCAGTTCATGCTGGACCTCACTGTGATGTGCAGGTGCTCACTGTGATGACTCCATTCGCAGCCAAACAGTCAACATGGTGGAAATTTGATGCACAGCTCCTCAATAAAGCACCACAATCAGGCATCCTTAGGGATTTTAGCACAAATCTATTAAGAATTGTACATTTTTATTCATTCATAATCTCTACCATTTGTTATAGTCAGTAAAAGACAACTTGGACACATGGACAGACTGGTCATGTCCTTCGTAGGTTTCATACAGAAAGACCAAGTGATGTGAGGTATGAACTTGTTTCTACAAACCCCTGACTTGCATATATTGGACTGCAGTAAGAAATGAATGTGGACTTCAGAGGATTCATGCCAACTCCAGACAAAAAAGCTTGGTAACTTGTTAAATAAGCCGTATACTGTATAAGAAAACCTTCATAACTTTTAAAACACATGTATGTTAATTTGAGAGTGATACCAGGTTCCAATATTGAGATATTTTGGTGATACTTTAAATATTATTTACATTTATGCTTTAGCTCAAGTTTCATTGGTTATTTCTGCTGTAGCCTGATAAGTCTGATATAGACACAGCTCTCTTTGTCAGAGGGGTTGTCGTTGATCTCTGGTTTACATATAATGGCAAGAATGTCTTCTGTCATTATTTTATAGATAGCATATATAACCACACAGAATCCTGAGTAATAAAAGTACTTTTGCCTTTTGCTTTCTGCACACCATAATGTTACAGTTACAAACCATATGTAATTTTGAGTCAAATTTGTATTCTATCATCCCCAATATAACAAAAAACAAAACTATCCTAAAAATACCCCAAAATTACACTCTGAAAATCTCAACAAACACCTTTTATAATGTTATTATTTTATAAATATTATTATATTTGTGTTTCATCGCCCCTGTTTGTCTTAACTGATTTGGAGACAAACAAAACAAACAAAACAAAACATAAGTATTCACGTCAAGTCCTTTCATGTCAAGTAAATGACATACATTGTAAATGCAGATGCTGTTATGATCTCATAATAGAGTCAATATTAATATATAATATAATATATATAAATAACCCACTTTACTTTACCATTCAATGTTTTTAATGCATCTCTCTAAACATTATTAGGAGACTTATCACTTAAAAGAATACATGTGCGATATTAAAAATGTCCCTTCTTTTGCCAAAAGAAAGGATTTAAGACCAAAAAGAATTGCCAGCAAATGAAAACAACAGAATTAAAATCAAATGCACTCAAAAACAAAAAAAAAAAAAATTACTACTTATTTGTTGACTGGAATCCTCATTTAATGATTATTTATTTTACTTCCTTTAGACCAGATGGATTCTTTTACAACAGGTTATGTCTCTTTTTACAAGGTAACTTCAATGTGCAATATAAGCTTACACAGGATTACAGTTTGCTTCGGTATAATAAATACACACACACACACACACACACACACACACACACACACACACACACACACACACACACACACACACACACACAGTAATAAGGTCAATGAAATAAATTCTTATGTATGTCAGGTAAATTCAGGATGGTGTAGTACTAAAATCTAACAGCAGATGGCGCATGACAGCAGATCATTTTATTTTAAGTAAAAACAGACATTGTATAAAAAATATATGTAAACAAAAATAAAAGCATCCATTCATTAACTGAAATGCACTTGTTGTCATGTCTCAGTTGCATGTGACTAGTGCAGAAGCAAAATAGTTGTTACTAGTTGAGCATCATATTCAATGTATTGTCAGCCTCTGAAATCCTCAGCACTGGGGAGCTGAAGTTGGATGAGCAGGGAACTAAGTTCTGGGTGTTCAGATAACTAATCTTCTTGTCGCTGTCCCCTCCTGATCCTTCTCCCAGACTGGCCACCAGTGAATCGAGCCCCTGTGGCTGGCTGCTGGGCTGTGGCGGAGGCACCAGGCCGTGCAGGAGGCTGTTTCCCAGGTGGGAGTTACACCGAGCCAAGTTATCAGTTAGATGTTGCATGTACACTTCCTCCAACTGTTTGTCCAGCAGTCCATTCAGCACAGAGTTAGACATGGGCTCCAACCCTGATCCGGGTAGATCCAAGCTGATATTTACACTGTCCCCCATAACCAGATAACCCTGGTCTGGTATTGAAACGCCTAGTGGCTCCTGTTGGGCTGCCCATTCTGGTTGATGGCAGGCATCACTGGCAAAACCGGGCTGGGCGAGGATGGTTCTCAGTGGGTTGTTTGAGATGCGGCCTGTGTCAGCCACCTGCAAGTCTGGATACTGTTCCAGGAGGCTGCAATTGTCTAAGCAAACTGCAAAGTCAGGGTCCAGAGTGAGGAGATGTGGACACCCAGGGATTGATAGGCCTACGGGACCTTGAGGCACCACTTTCAGTCCCTGGAATTTGTTGGTGTCTAGTTCTTCCTGGTCTGGACCTGATTAGAAAGAATAAACTGTTATTAAGATGTTTTAAATTTAATTTTGTTTTGTTTGACATTTTTGCTACTTGGCATGAAATCATAAGTATGATTATATCTGACAAAGGAAGAACAGTAAAAGGGAACCAGACCGTGTAAAGTTAGTACATGAAACCAGTACGGAAAGTTAAACTTATCACTACATCAGACAGATCCTATGTTATAATGTTTTATAAGACTTTTAATATAAAAAAAAAAAAGAGAGTTTACCTGATTCAGCTGAATCTGTCTGTAGGCCTGTAGAGTTTGAGTCAGAGAGAACACAGTTGGATGGATCCACACAATGAGTGTGTGTCTGCGATCTCTTCAGCTTGGAAGCAGAGGCAAACTTTCTCTCCTCCCTGTAACGCAGCACTCTGAGAAAACCTTCAGCCAACATGGCTCAGAATGACTGTCCTCTTCTTTTCTGTCTCTTTTCAGCCCACTTTGCCTCGTATTATTGTCAGTCTTAAGAGCAAATGGCACAGTGTGAGTGCGTATGTAAGTGTAAATTTCTACTGACCTGTTTCACTTCTGCAACTGAGAATCAGCCCCTCCACCCACACCACACACTTCCTTTATTAGTCTGTACTGAAAATCACAGTTGAGAGAAAAGAGAACACATTTTTATATGAGCTGTAAAAACTCTCTATGGTAAGCTAAGTGGCAGAACTCTTCACTGAAGTAAAAGTACCAATACAACATCAAGGAAATACTTGTAAATAAGTACTTTTAAATACTTACTTAATCCAGTAATATTATCATATTAAGTATTATCAGCAAAACATATTTAAAGTATCAAAAGTAAAAGTATTAATTCTGCAGATAAACTGTCACTGTGAGTGATTTATTATTATATATACATATTGTCATTATATACATATTCGTACCCCATTTTTTAGGATTGCGAGCTGCTTAAAGGACCAGTGTGTAGAATTTAGTGGCATCCAGATTGCAACAAACTGAATACTGCTCACCTTCCAAGTGTCTAGGACAAATTATTCTTATTTTCAGGTGATTATATACTGCAAATATATCTTTGAATATTATATTCCTTGTATTATAATACTCCTAAATGTTAGTAGTAGGTCGGTGCTACTTTATGTACAGTTAGGTAGCTTAATGGTAAATGTCAGGCCTGCTCAAAAGGGTCAAAAGAACACAAAAAAAGCATATACTTTTCATATAGGGCCGGTCTAGAACGTACTCCTTATAAAATTAATCTACCTGATTGGTTGCAGATTGCAACTACCTTGCTTCACCCTCCCCTTAAATTCGCAAAGGAGAAACTATGATGGCCAACATGTGAAAACCGCAAATGGCCCTTTCTAGTTTTTGGTTTGTCCATTCTAGGCTACTGTAGAAACATGTGGCCTCCATGCAATCTGTGGCGTCTGTAGATATAAATGTCTTTTTCTAAGGTAACAAAAACAGAACAATTTTCAGGTGATTATACACTAATAAAATGTTGTGTTATATAGTAATGCAGATTTTATTCAACTTTTGCCAATAGATCCTCCTAAATGCTACAAACTGGACCTTTAAATGAAACCATCTGAGAAGAGGAACAACTCCCACACAGCTGAAACATGAGAAGAGGACCCCACCATACACTGTTTTTTGTAGCGGGTCATAAGACTGGTTTTAATAGTTAAAGTAAGTATAGGAAAAAAATCAATGTAACCTCAATACAAGAGACACACTGGAATCTCAGCTCCTATTAATTTCATTAGCAGCATTTCTGTGGAACGGCACCTTAGTCAGCGTAATTGGAAACCTGTGTGTTACCCTACTATTTCATGTTAAAATGGCTGCTGTGAAAAGGTTTATTGTCTGCCATAGTGTCAATATTGAAGAGGTGGTATGAGTTTGAGTAGTCATGTGCACATCCACAAAACCCCAGTGGGATGGGTGCTGGATACAAAGGGAGATGTGAGATGTGTTCATCTGAAAAGTAAAAAGTAAGAACTTTTACAACAGTTCTTTTCGAAACCACTGTTGAGAGGAACTTTGAGTGGTTGGATAAATATCTGGGGAATATCTTCAGAATGTTCTCAGGAAATATCAGTAACTCAAGGAGCGACGACTTCCTCAAAACACGTCTCTTTCACAATCTCTTTTTAATCACCTTTCCAAATGCTTGAATTCCTTGAAAACACACGTCAATCCATATTCAATGAAAGATTAGTCACATCCTGTAAACTTAAAATCATTTATTGTGCATAAAAAAAACAGAACGTTATAAGAAGGCAGAATTTATTTCAGTTTATTTCAATGTGTTTGACTATGCCATTACTGAAACTTCACAACCATGAAGGACTACTGAGAGTCAGGCTTGCAGTTTTATTTGCAGTCTTATTTTTATTTGATTTTAGGGAAGATACTAACTTATGTAAGACAGGGATTACCAACACAATGTGAAACAGGATGCTTACAGCGAAACGAAACAGCTGTTCAACTCCCCTAAAAACAAAAACAATACATAAAAAAAAATAACAATTTCACATCCCTCTATGTTTGCAGTCTTGTAATTTTGGCATGTATTATCTTTTTTTTTTTTTTTAAACATATATCATCTTGTAGAAAAAAGTTTGCTAGTAAAACAGCATTACGACAATAAAAAGTAAATAAAAACATAGATATTGGGATTGTAATGTCACTTCTACAGAAGATGCTGCAGTCTTAGTGATGACAGGACTAGCAGGAGAACAATATTTGACTCACTGTTTCCAGGATTAAACATATAAGACTTGTACTAATTCAACCTGTCGAGTTAAACAAATGATGATAATGTTCCACGATGTGATGTTAACATGGATGATGTTCCGTTGGCCGAATGGTGAATCTGTGTTACAATTTTCAAAGTGTGTGCATGTTGTTGCGTTTGATGATACACGTTCATGCTAATGGTTGATTGACATGTCATTAGGCCAATAGGCTTAGCAGTCTGAGGTTAATGGGAGGAAGCAGTGCTGTTTGTAGATACCCATAATGCTCTGCTTTAGTACCTCCCTTCACTACAGCTGACAAGGCACAGCTGAACACAGATAAATTAAGAAAAACATACTGAAAAAACGGTCCACATTTTTATAAGCTGAGTGAAATGTTGCTTTTTTTTTTTTTTTTTCCTGGATCAGTTCCAGGTCAGTCTGGGTCCAGGTCTGGGTTTCGGTCTAGGCCTGAGGTCTCAGGTAGGAACGATATAAAGCTGCTACTGCTGTGCTTTCTTCGCTAGAGCCTCTGCCTCCTGGAGAAAGACAGAGACAGAGGGGGGGGGAAAGGAAGAGAAGAGGGAGAGTGTGTTATATTAAAATGGAGGATATTGGTTTATATATCCCCTGCCACAGCACAGAGGAAAACCCCTCTGTTTCTATGGTAACTGGCACACCTCCCTGCAGTTCCTGTTGTGGCAGAGAGGAGGCACCAGTGTGCAGGAGTGAAAGGGAAAGGCAGAAGAGGCCTGCTTGGGCGTAAGGGGTATCATGAACAGATGTATTATGTAATATGTGTGTTTTCTGTATAGAAATCACACTGTGAGGATAAATATATATTTAGGCACATAAGCTGGTGTTACAGGAAATATGGTTAGGCTGTAGGAATGTAGTTCAAAATAAGGACAGATAACTGTGTGTGTGTGTGTGTGTGTGTGTTTGTGTTCATAAGCTTACCTTCGAGCCCGGGGGAGCGGTCAGACCCAGAAATGCATAAACAGCGTTGTCCTCTCTGGCATCGAAGAAGGCCTCGTAGTTCTGAGGACGAGGAAGACACAGAGAGAGAACTTTAGAAGCAGATCAATAACAGGATGAGCTCGTCTCAATCTGAACTCCAACCTGAGGAATGATAATGTGAAACAGGCCACATTATGGATCAGGGCCTGATGGCGACAATCTGAGGGGCAGTGCCACATGGACTCTTTGTGAGAAGCAGCCGAGGTTGTGTTATTTGTCCAGGGACAGGCCTCGGTAGTCAGTCTGATAGGAGGGTATTGTCTTTGAGAATGTAACCCAGAGTAAACAAGCTAACACATTCATCCATCTGCTGCGGTCTTTCTCATTCTTGATCCCTCACTCCCTCACGTTCCTTTGTTTTCCCTCATTTCTCTCCCACACACACATACCGGTAAACACACAAACAGCTGCAAGTATCCTGGGAAATGCTGTTCTCTTTGTCTGTGACATTCAATACAGCCCATCCTGCAAGTGCAACTTCGATTCCAGCTGTCCATTAGCTGCACAGCATGACATCTCGGTGCACCCAGGCTAAAGGTCTTTCTAATAGGAGTAAATTAGCATCTGCTAACACAGGGCAGAAAGCTAAGGTACATGGTAGAGTATATCTGAGCAGGGTGGTAGCCACAATGTGAGAAATACTGCAGCCCCAACCCGAAGAGGAGCTATCCAGAGAAAAGGCTGTGGGATTTTCTGATTCTTCCGTTCTCATTTTCTCAGTTCATTAAACTGTTTAGTTCTGTAATTTGTATTTACACACATGATGTCTAAAGGACCAGTGTGTAGGATTTAGCTGCATCTAGTGGTGTAGTTAGAGATTTCAACTCCCTTGCTTCACCTCCAAGCATGAAGGAGAAACTATGTTAAAGTAAACTGCCCTATCTCAAGCCAGTGTTTTAGTTTTTCGGTTCTAGGCTACGGTAGAAACATGGCTGTTCAACTCCATAGGAGAGAATCAGCTCTCTCTGCTGATAAAAATGTATCATTCTAAGGTAATGAATATACAACAATTCTTGCTTTCAGGTGATTATACACTAATGAAAACATATCTATGCGTATTATATTCAATTTCTGCCAATAGATCCTCCTAAATGTTAGTGGACCTTTAAAGGAATATTTTGACATTTTGAGAAATACATTTATGGACTTGAGAGTTAGAAGAGTTAGAAGAAGAAGATCAATACGAGGCTTATTTTAAGCTGGAGCAAGGTGACGGTTAACTTAAGCTAAGTGACAACTGAAGTTAACCACAAAGTTAAGCTCAAGGACAGGAAGCCAGCTAGCCTGGCTCTCTCCAAAACTTAAACACAGTCTGCCTACCAGCACCTCTAAAGCTCACACTTTATATCATGTTGTAAATGTATATCCAAACCGAAGTGAAGAATTCTTGTTACTTTTTTAATTTGGTTTTTCTACAGATTAAACAAACTCTCTCTCCTTTTAGCTCTGTTTACATCTCCACCTAAATGCTCCACTATGTTACCAGCTAATCACTAACTGTGTCTGCCATTGACAGTATATATAGTTAACACACCTTCTGGGTCTGTGACGTGAAGCCAACTGTGTTCAAAATGCATTCTATGTAAAGGTCAGCAGGGGGCAGCTCCATTGGCTGCAAAAGAATTGAGTGATAGTGTGGAGTCTTATGGAGAAATGACTACTTCTCACCTGATTTATTAGCTCAGGTTCATTTATTAAATTATGCTCCAATTTAGAGTAAAAAAGGTGATAAAGCAGGGTATGCTTTAGGGTGTGGCTATCTTGGGAATGACAATTTAATTCTCAGTGAGTCCGTCCAGCTCAACGCACGAAACTCAGATTAAACTGTCAAACTATGCAGCGCTGAACAAATATGAATCAAGATTCTGTTCT